CTATTCATTAACATTTTTACATCTCTAAAGTTGTTCATATGAAATACTACATTTCAGATGCTATTTATATGTTGATAATGATGCAGATATCGTTCTAAACACACACATGCTAGAACTACATAGAATGACAAATAAGAACGCCAACAGACATTTCTGTTGTATTACAGTATTATGTTATTACAGTCTCCTTTAGTTTTAATACACAAATTGCTTTATTCATACAGTAGGCTACATCTTCGACTGAAACCTATTAGTCAGTGAAAGTCTTCCAGAAATAGCCATTTGACTCTAGTGGGCTAAGTATTCATCACAAAACGTCACAAGCACCATAAATACTGCTAAGCAATTCATAATAAACCTGTGCTGCACATTAGTTCCATAATAGCTGTGGTGGAAAATCAGGCTGAAGATGTGCTGTACTGATTATTATCAGCATTTATGTCCAGAACAAATCCTCTTATAATCATTCAAGCTACAAAGAGACCTTACCTAGACATAATATCCCTGAACAGTTCCCAGTGGAGCCCGAGACCCAAATTTAGCACAAAAGCAGCTCTGTCTAAATCTATGTCACCATCCCGCCTGATCCAGATCTATGACAACCAGCGTTTCATCACATCTCCACTTTGAACTGCACATCATCAGCCCAGAAAGAAGAGAGGTGTGGTGCTACTTAAGTTACATATAGATTAATAAATAACATTACTGCAACATACATAATCTAATTATCTGATAACGGTAAGGTTTATGGATGCCATTCCTGCATTTTAACTGCAGTTTCCTATACAATCGTTGAGATAAGCAACTCTCATGACATGCAGACGATGTAAACAGTCTGTTGCCAAGGGCTACAGACAGATTGGACTTAAAGCTGTCAATAGCTGCTTGCTTAGGTGAAAACTAACATGGTGTGTGTGGGTGATGGATTAAGCAGAATGCAGTGTTCTTCAAAACACCAAGTATTAAACTTTAGCAATGTCCACAGGTTGTGCTATTGACACATAGCCTGACTTCGTCACACTCATATTCTAGTCTGCTCCATAGGGCTTTGATTATGAGGGGTGTCTTAACCGAACCAGAAAAAAAAAACTCTGCACTCAATTGGATAGACCTACAACCAATCAGAGCAATGCAGTAAGTGTTTTTTTTATGAGCTACGCAAGTCAACACAACAGAACTCAACTACACGCACGCTGGAAGTAGTAGTAAAATAACGAGTGTTGCTTCTTTTACTTGGTCCTCCATGAGTGCGACCAAAGGAGAAACCACAACGGCCACAGGGTTTTCATTGCGTCCCATCTTCTTAGCGACCATCGGAGCCAGCTGATAAATTAAACTTTTGCCGAATCCCGTAGGAAGGACGGCAAACACATCTTTCCGATCGACAAATGCCTTGATTGCAGTTCTCTGTTCGTCTTTTAAAATGAATGCGCTGTCGATTTCTTCTACAACAGACGCGATAGCGGAATCTATACATCTCAATTCTCCAGCTGCAGTCATCTCTGAGGGAAACCAGTTCAACCCAAGCGCTCTTTGATAACGTGATGATTACGTAACTGCAGATCATCTGTCCATCATCGTATAAAGCCCGCCCTGGCAATTTGATTGGCCCGACTAATTCTGAACTGATCATAATTACTCCTCAATGGATCGAGTCCAGACCGAACTTCCCGACCAAAAAATGTTGTGGGCAGGGTTCAGGCTGGCATCCAGGCTAATTGACACGATTAATACCCCAATAATTTGACTTGTTGATTACTATTTATCTTTTATCAGACTTACAAATCCCCTCAGACCAATAATGAAAAAAAAACGTATAGATTTAAATCGAAGCACAAACCAGCAGATGGACTGTTTTGACCTGGACTATAAGAACCCACCTAGCAACCATCCAAAACACCTTAGCAGCCAACCTGTCATCAACCTTACATTGTGGCACAGGTTTTGGCCACTCATACCACTTACATTTTCCTCAGAAAGTGAAAAATGTTGCGCATACACATACAGTATTGCTTGCGCGCTCCCCTTTAAATGAAGTCTCACAAAATCCTGTAGGAAAAACTGAATTACTCCTCTATGTTGTTATCATTATAGTTAGGTTAAGGACTTATAGTAAATCACGAAATATGTGTCGGAAATATGTGTCGGAATATTGCGAAAAGCTTTTTTTTTTCTTGTTTCACAATACTCAATTAATGATTGTAAAATGAGATTGGTGTCTTTAGAAGAAGTATCTGTGCTGAATTTGAAATCACAACAATACTGTGCTATGGGCACAGCCATTGATACAGGCTACAGCAGACGTTTTTTACACTACTATTTGAAGCTTGAACCTGAACACGGTAGTGTGAAAAGGCCTATTACGAACACAAGATACAGAAAGTATTCATAGACAGTCACAAATCACAAATGAGTCATTTACACAACACCTTTCCATGCAACTGCATGCGATGTTAATTCAGTAGTGCACAGACGGTAGACCCCATCCAAACTATCAGTTACAACATTTTCCTCAAGTGCAACTAACCTTATTCTATTTCTGGTTGAGAGTCAAATTGCTCTCCTTCTCTCATCGGCGTGCACACACACACACACGTTTGTGTGTGTCATTAAGACGTTACCCAGGGGAAGGACAGATAATGACCCTTTACTCTGAATTTTATGATAATCTTAACAAGCAACTGCCCCCACCATAAAACACATTAGAGAAGGAGGTTCAACTAGTTAGAATCAATAGTCAGCCAGTGACTAGAGCAGCGACTAGAGATTGATATTCAATGTGAGATTTTCTAAAGATTACATTTAGTGTTTTTATAAAAAAGTAGATAAACTTCAAGTGAGAATTAGATGATGGCAAATATAATCTAACTGAAAGAAAAAAAATTAATAGTCTGATGATAACGGATATAGGCTAGTACTGATATATTGTGCATTCCATCAATTTCATTAGCATGTGAACATACATTTCTTAATATGCAATGCATTTACCTATTTTAAAACTTTCCTAGAGATTTTAACTTAACCTTCCTGCAGGGTCACATTATCTCTGTATTAAAACCCAGTGAATTGTGTTCTATAAAGCACTTTGTAGTCACTGAACACATGGCGATTCCATCTTGAAAACATGTCAACAGCAGGGGAGTGTGAATGGCGCTCTACTTGTTTAAGTGTAACTGTGGCTGATGGTGTGGGGCCTTTGAGATCAGCCAGTAACAACTGATGGCTCTCTTGGTAGTGCGAGTCTTAGGCCTGTGCATCAAGGCATGTGTGATATGCACTCAGCCAGCGGGATACCCATTAGGCTAGTTGGGCCAGCTTTTAAACCCTCTCTTTCAGTTATTGGACATAACCGTCCATGAAATTTCCAATTTTCATCAGCCTAGTAGCCTACAGCTGACAGAATGTGGCCATTCAATGGTTGAGAAACCTGTGGATCTAGAGGGTCTTGACTGAAAAGTGCAGGTTTTTCCAAACATCATGTCAATTAGAGGTTTAAGAGGTTAACTGGCCATTTGCTAAAAGTACACTGCATGCTCAGTCATTCCACAAAGTTCCCCGGCAGAGTCAAAAAAAAAAAATCCTTTAGAAAACCACCTGGGAAAGTGAAAGGCAAGGCAAGTTCTAGGATGACTTTTCCTTGCACTTAGTAACTCTGGAACATGAGTCACAGTATCCATTATCACATTTAGCGCCAGTGATTTTTAAACGCACAGAGAAGTCATGAAAGACGTCTTTTTAAGCTGTCCAGAATAGCAAGATATCAGCATGTTATTTCAGCTCTCCCTGCAGGCCTGCTAAAACACACCCCATTGTGCATCTGAGTTAACTGGTTACACAGCTGGAGAGCTTCCTTGTGTATAAACTGAAACTGCTTTGGTGTTTTCTAGTCATTGTGACAATAAACACAACTGAGCCACTTCATTTTGTGGTCAGCTTAAAAAAAAATTGACATGCAGGACAGAAATAGGGGTGATATAGCTTACTGGTTAAAACTATAAACTGAAACCCTGTATAGGTTCAAGCCATGCATGCATGGGGTGGAACGACAGTTTCCCATAGTTTATACAGTCAATTTTGTTGACTTGTGATACCACTTTCAACAAAAATATAAACTAAATAAGAAAAAGTTCTGAAAGTTCCAAATACAATTTTGCAGAAACTGTGGGACATTTTCAAAGAAATTAAGGACAAGTTTAAAGGGATGGAGCAATAAACTAACTATTACTACTGTGCCACTGAGTAATACATTTCTCTTTAGGTCAAGTTCAAGGGACTAAATAAAAAAGTTTCAACTTAATGATGTAATATTCCATTAATAATGTTTTTTTTTTTTTAAATGTCATAATGACATCATCATCAACTCTTCAGGATGTAAACGCTTTAAGGACAAGTCAAATGAGTTGTCAGTATGGTCTTAAATAGTCAGTCATGTGACCATGATACATAGAGAAAACAAATGATTATTACAAATATGGACATGTCAAAGCATTAAATCTTTCTAACAAACGACTTGTAGTGCCACTACCTTGGCTTGAACACATGACTAATGGCTAAATTAACTAAGCTGTCAACTATTTCCCATCAGCCTTTTCAAAGACACAGCAATGCTAGGCTACATCATTTGTCAATATATTATTAGGCTATATGGGGCCCAGAGACTACTACAGATGAAATTGATCTATCTAAATCATATTTTATGTCTGATTAAATGTTTTTTTTAAAAAACAAAATACGTCAAAATCACTTTTTCAAAATGGAAAAGCCCTTGGAATGTCCCTTTCAACTCTTACAGCATAACGAACGTTAGGTAAAACTAATAGGCTAACGTTACAGAAATTCTGTACGACTGGTGATTTACTGAGGCGATTTTACACAGTTAAACCCTGTTATCTATACAGGCAACGATAAACCCAAAATTTGACTTATACGCTCTCTTCGCGACACTTGTTTAAAAAACCTTGAGATGTTCAGCACTTGCAGGGTCAAACAAACAAACAAACCTCATTTTTGTCGACTTGCTCTCTTTTTTGTTGAGAACTCCCGGGACGCAGTTGGTGAGCTCGGTCCAGTCCGCGTGTAAACCGCAACTCCAGCCGGTGGAGAACCGAGAAAACAGCCAGGTCTCCTTTCGGTTCGGACGGTAGCAAGTACACTTCTTCTGCCCCGGTCTACAATCACACGGAAGCTCCAGTCGAACATTTTGGACCAGGTGTCTCCCGAAGGTGGTCCCGCCGGTCTTTTGGATGTGGAGAAACACAATCACGTCTTCTCCCTTGATTTCGAAATCGATATTGCGTTCTAGATCTTTAATAGGGAAGTAGTACTTTTTCACATAGTGCGGATCCGGAGTGGGGAAAATGGTCATGTCCTCTTCGCCGAGAAGGTACCCGTGCGGGGAGCCGAAGTTTATCACCCCGGGCGCCACGTACTGGTACAAAATCAGCATGAAGAAGACCGATCCGACGACGATCAACAGAAATTTACTGGTCCTTTCAACCATGTTCCTTTCCGTGTCGTTCATTTGTTATCATTTCTCAGACAACAACAGTCCGCGGAACTCCTGTGGTGGCTTGCACCCTTCGCGTCTTTTCGTAGACAGATCATCATAGGTCCACTTAAGAGTTCGGGATCTCGAAACAATGTGTGCTTGGATACATTACATCCACATTTCGACCGGTCCTATCCCTGTCAAAAATCCAGATCAAATCCGTTCACGGGACCCGTACTGCAGATGAAGACACAGCAGTCCTCAGACCTCGAGTCCTGTTGAGTCCTCTGTGAAGCGACTAGTCAGAAAATACCTCCCTTGTCTCGTATAATTATTCTACACAGCGACACCCACTTTCCCCCACACACACATCAAGCTCTCACTAAAAATGGGCTTTAATGTTTCGTTTGGAGTTCCCGTTTGCATTTTTTTTAGGCAAAAAAACAAACAAACAAAAAAAAAACTAATGTGGACTGTAATGCTCTGTTACCTTTTTTATGCCAATGATCGCGAAATATAATGATACATTTTAAAACTTTTTCTTTGGAAAATTCCACAGACCCCCTAAGCAGCCTCTTGGTCAAAATAAATAAAAGGTAATACATAAATAAATAAATAAACTTATTTTCCATTAACAAGTCGACTCGAATATTAAACAATTACATGTTTTATGGTGCACACAAGTTAACTGAAAATAAGCAATTCACTTAATGCCAGTGCATTGAAGCACACATAAATTTCGCACGAGAACCAAAACATCAATCCTGTAGTAATTGAGGAGATTTAGTTAGCGCCGCTGATCCACACAGAACTGATAGGGGGCGACACAGAGGAGTACGACAATGGAATATTGTGAAATTCCTCCATACATATAAATACTGGGGTAGGTTGGGGTAAGATGACCCCAAACCCCCACCCCACCTTAATTTTTTATCCTGACCATAGATGGCACAATTTTTTATCACAGCACTTTTGAGGAATGGCTTTGCTAGCTATATTTTATTTAGTAATTTTATCAGAATATCAACATTTCTGAGATTTAGTCAGTCAAAACAGTTTTGAGGTTAATTGATCTAATTTTGTGTCTCTGGAAAATAGTGATCTATGACACTGCCTATGTTAAATATCAAGTTTTTTTTTGTGTGTGTGTCTATTTGTTAATGAGGGATTTGTGGACACATTCATGTTTTTAGAATTGTGGAGTAAAGGTTATAGGCTATAGTTTTTATTTTGAAGTAAAAAAAAAGATCAAATTAGACCTTTGGGGTAAGAAGCCAGAATTGGCACAGAAGGCCTCACGTGGTATGTTAGTGTTATTATTTTTAAATTGAATAATTATTGTAATTAACAGGGTTGTTATACAGTATTTCCATGAATTTGATTTCATTTTCAAAGATACATTTCATCTTTGCTTTCATTAAAGAGCCCCTATTATGGATTTTTGAAAATTACCTTTCATGTAGTGTAACATAGCTCTAAGTGAAGGAAAACATCCTGCAAAGTTTTAAATCTGAAAGTGCACTATAAAGTTATTGTCTTTCAAAAGTAAGGGTCGACTCTGAGTCAATGAAATGAATCGTTTTTCAAACGAGTCATAAGTCGTTTCGCTGTGACGTCAGGACGAAACATTAGCATATTGCCCGCCCACTTATTGCCCACGCAGACACCAGGGATAACTTGAACCTCAAACACTGCAGCTGATTCCTGTGGATACTGGACAGCATCATGTCGAGAAGATGCTGTCCTCTACAATGTGAAGGTAAAGCCAAAGCCAGTTTTTTGTCACTGCCCAAGGACGAGCATGTGAAGAATCAGTGGTTAAAATGAATCTTTACCACGATATCACAGCAGTATAATCCTAAACTTTTGCTGTGTTCCCTTTAATTTACTGACGACTGCTTCTCAAATATCTGAGTTCAATGCAGGATTCGCAAACCGCTTGTTCTTGAAAGATGGTGTTCAAAATACTTAGTTTTGAGTTTTATATTGTGTAGGTCTCCTGCTAACTGGCTAACTCACGTTATCACTGTCTTACTGAAATACTTCTGCTAATCAGTTGTGGGCCACTATTACTGTGTCTATTAATGCAGATTGTCTGTCGTTCTCACTACTTTGAGGAAAGATTAAGCATGGAGCAAGATTTGTTTTACCAACGTTTATGTTACATCAGTCATTCACGCTAGAGCTCGGCTAATGTACATCAGGGATGGAAATTAGCACCCGCCACCAGCCAAATGCGGGTGATTTTGTGTTGTGGCGGGTAAACTCGCTTCACCTACCGGCCACCGTGGCGGGTAAATAAAAATAGCATACTGTTTCACCCGGACGGCGGACACTTTTAGAGGAGGCACACCTTCAAACAAAATGTGGCGTTACATCGCAGGCGTAGAGGTCTGCAGAGAAAACATCATGGTGCGTTCACACCAGACGAGAATAGAGCGTCTGGCGCGAGTGATTTCATTGTTAAGTCAATGCAAAGACGCGTTACGCGCGTAAAAAATTCCTGCGGCGCGAATGAGGCGTAGAGCGCGCCGTGGTAGATGCAAATACGCCTCATTCGCGCGGCAAGTTCGAGCGTCTGACGCGTTCCGCGCGCATGATTTTATTGAGTGCTTTTGTGCATTCACGCGTTTGACGCGAATTCGCGTCTGCCGCCCGAGTTGAAAAATCTGAACTTTAGCGTCAATTCGCGCTGCGTTAACCAATCAGGAGCCTAGCTGCTGTCACGTGGTGAAGTATCTGGATGCTTCAATAAATTATTTTGTACTAAATGCCTGATGTGGTTCTAATGCACAACAAAGCAAATATTTTATCACATAAAACTTGATTTCAATATATGAGACATATTCATTTTGTATTGAATGCTATTTATTCCATTTCATATCTAGATTATATTAAATATTATTCTAATGTAAAGGCAACCAACATACTAGCTCATAAATCCGTGTCTGGAGAGTGTTGTGTGAGAGAGAAAAAAAATCACAGGACAGGTTAATTACTTTTGGAGGCTGGCTCAATTTATCATCAAAACAAAAATAAATGACAGATTAGGTGGATGAGGCCGAGGGTGAGAGAAAGAGAAAATGTCAGTATTTCATTGAGACTTGAGATTAAATGAACTGCTTAAGTATTCTTGTAGTATTAATTTTCACATGCAGTTAGACATTGTCGGTTAAAAACAAGAAAGTGGCTGGTAAAAACATTGAGTGGCTGGTAGATTTTGAAATCCACCAGCCACAGTGGCCGGTGGACAAAAAAGTTAATTTCCATCCCTGATGTACATGCTTGTTGATAACAGTTTCCTGTATTCCTTCATTATTGATACAGTTTCCACGTGTTCACCACAATATATTAGAAAAATACTCAATAAATAAATAAGTACAAGTAAAATAATCGGTTTGTTGATGGACATGCACTTGTTAATGTCATCTCATAATGTTCCTTAAACTGAGTAGTGTATCACTGAGAAACGTCCTGCTCGAGTTGTCCTTGCGATGAAGGTTCGGGTTGAATGAATAGTCGGATTGATATGGTAAAATCGACATCATTGTTCGTTACTGTCTTTAGTTTATGGTGTAGGAAGTCTCAGGACAAGCAGAGCTGACGTTGTTATGGCAATGGGCGTTTTGGTTTTCGACACGCGTGGTAAACCAATCACAACAGACTGAGGTGTCTGACCAATCAGAGCAGAGTAGCTCGAGGAAAGGAGAGATTTAGCGAGATTGATTCATGTGGTGATGTGCAAATGTATATTATGAGGAAATGAAACCGTTTTTTTTTTTTTACCTTTGCTGCATATAAACCTGTTGTAGGAGACTCCAAAACAACATAGGAAACTTTAAAATAGCATAATAGGGGCACTTTAAAACCTATAGGTTAGTTGAGTGAAATCAGTAAATTTGCATTTGTGTTGCTATTATGACATATCTTCGATTAAAATACGGGCAATTGAAGTAAATATTCATATGCCTGTATGAAATATTCATAGAATAATTTTACCTTTCAGACATTCTGCTTTAACTGTCATCAGTTATTCAATTATTCAACTAAATTGTCAAAAAAAAAGTTTAAATACAACAGTTTATTTAGTATTTCACATTAATGACAATTAAAAAAATATATATATGAATTAGAATTATATCAAAAGTCTGATACATTATAAAACTGTCTATATGATATTTCGATAACATACAAATGGTTTCCTTCTTTAAAAACCTCTAACCTGTTCTTATATCTTATAGTTCGGGCATTTAGGCTTTATTTTCAAAGTAGGCTACATCTAAAAGCAGAGACAGAGATTGATGGACATGGTTGATTTGTGACACAGGAGGGCTTTTGAACCTCTAAGGCTTTTGAATTTAAGCCTAAGTGCAAGTAAAGCAATATATTTAGGTCTTAAATATTCCATTTCAGAACACACTATCAGAGACAATAAGGCTTATAAGTAAGCCTATGTTAAATGTGGCTGTCGTGACTGTGAACGAACCCACATAGACCCTGTACAGCTTTTGAATGATGTTCCATTAAAATCTGCTTTGCCTTCAATTTTCCCCATAGTCATTTACTCCATTTGTCAGTCTAAAATTTCAGTAGGAAGCCTGACCTTAACCCCTTTTAGCTCAAACACTAATGATTATATGAGCTTTAAGCGCACCTTTAGTGTCAGCCTCACAGTACAGTTCACCTGACTACATATCCGTGGAAAATTCTGCATTTATGTCAGCTCAGCTGAAATGGATCGCTTGATCCCAGGCGTATTTGTTGATAATACAAAGGTGAACTCTCTCTATCGTCACTTCAATGAAGCAATCAGCAATGTTTTTCTATGCGAGAGAATCCATTAGCAAATAAATGAAATTATACCATACAGCGGAGCCATCACAGCGTTTTATGTTGCTAAATCATGTAATTTGAAAAATACAACATTTCACCACCTACTATACTGTAAGCTCATAAATGTTTAGACTAAAGCATTTTTAACTGCAAAAATTGATTGAAAGCAATGTTATGCTTTCAGTATCATTAAGAAACTATAATTTTTTTATATGTTGAATTAGTTTTGAATTTTGTTTTGTTCTATTTTTAGTGTTTATCATTTTTGTTGTGTGTTTTTGTCATTAATTAATATTAGTTATTGCTTCTTCTGTCTATAGTTTTTATTCATTTTTATTTTAGTTATTATTAGTTAAAGGTACACTATGTAACTTTTTTTTTGTTTGCGAACCATATTCATCCGCACAGTCACAGAGCCGAAGTACAACCAAAACAATGTTCTTTCACAAAAAACATGGAGTTTTGTTTTTTAACGGCTAGAGGGCCAAA